GTTTGGGGTTTTTTTTTTGAGAGAGATAGAATTATTTGAATTTATCTAATAAAATTAATATTTTAGTTAGTATGAGGCTGTTTTACTGTGTGTACTTGTCTTAACAAAATGACCATCATTTGACACTGAAAGTTCTACAATACTTGTAATAATAAACTTGAAATAAAACATTTCACTAAAATGAGATAAAAGCTCAAAAAAATCTCGAACAAATATTTATGATATCAATACCTCCATCTGTATATTTGACATCTACATTATACATGTAAGTGGTGCTGTAATGAAATCTAAAATAAACTGTTGAAGTAATGAGCCAGCTTAAAGACTGACGAAGAATTTAAAGATTAAAAAACTACTACCCCACGTTGCGATCACAAAGTTAAACAATGTATGAAAGGGTTAAAAAATTACTTAATAATGTTTAGACTTGTGATTTTACATGTATATATTATGTATAATATGCATCTTCACAACCATTCCTTTGATAAAATCAAATGAAAACAGATTAATCTATGTGTACTACCATATTGATATGTCTATAAATACCACTGAAACCTCCCCAATTAGCTGTGATACTCCAGCAATAGATTAAAGGCTTCGTTAAAAGTGTTGGTTTCTAATGGTTTACGAATCTATGGTTGTTAAGATGCCAAATGCAGGCACGTAGCATCGTGTTTGAAAGTGGGGGCCAACCTGAGAAAATTGTTTTCACTTACCTGAAAAGTTGACGAGCCAAAAAAAAAACAAAAAACAAAAAAACGAAAATTTAAAAGTTGCCCAAAGTTGAAAATCCTATTTCGTTGAGGGGGGGACTTCCTTCCAGTAAACATTTCCTAAATTAAAGGTAATGTTGGGGGAAGAAGTGGGGGAGAGCCTGCCCCCCCCTGCCCCCCCCCCCCCCTGATACTACGTGCCTGAAATGTTTTTCTTCAATTCTCAAAAACTGGCCATGGGGGCATACTTCCTTCCAGTAAACATTTTCTAAAGTAAAGGTAATGTTGGGGGAAAATGTGGGGGTGCCTGCCCCCCCCCCCCCCCCCCTGATACTACGTGCCTGAAATGTTTTTCTTCAATTCTCAAAGACTGCAAGATTTTGCGAAATAAGACAGAACCAAACGGGTTTTCATTCAAAAATCGGAGCGTAGTATAGATAATAACCTTTGGCTAATCGATGTCTGATATCAAACAATAGCAATATATAATCGTGTTAAAATGAATAATAAATCCTTTGAAAGAAGGAATTTTTTAAATACAAAATATTATAGCGATTAAACGCAACATCATTGTGTTTGAACATGGATATTATTATTGCGATTAAACGCAAAACTTAATTGCGTTTGAAAGCAAAAAGTATCGCATTATATAGCAAAGGTAATTGCATTAAAACGCAGATATTAATTGCGATTCATTGCTTACGGGTGTATTTGATTTAATTCATTTCTTCATTTCCTTATGCCAAATGGCACATCAGACAGATACATGTACATTGTATTATAAACAAGGTATACATACAGGGTGTCCCAAAACATATGTTACACTATTAAATTGTTATAAAAATTTTATGCCTCAAACAAACAAATGAAATTTAATATACATAATGAAATTGTTATGGATTTTTTGTCAAGCAAACGTGTCACAGTTTCTTTATTTGTTATCAATATTTTTTGTTCAGAATAGCCTATGTCATTTTACAACATCTTCTAAATGAGGTTTCTTTAAATTGACAGTGTTTGAACACAATTTCTGATGTTTTTTAATCAAATTTAAATGTAACATTCCAACAGTTTGGATGGTTTTCCACATTAAATCTGGATTTCACCAAACAACAGAGTTTAAGATTTTCTTTAAAACATTGTTAAAATGAAAGTGGGCTTAATCGGAAAACCATACTTGAAGTGAGTTCTGTTAATTTTTTTTCTGGGTCGGGTCTAATCAAAATCCAAGGGGCAAACCCAAAATGACTTCTAATTTCTGTCTCTTTCAAATGCAGCATTACACTTATCTTGTTAGGAATCAATTTTAATTAAAATTTGAGTATTTTAATGACACTAGATTTATAAAAGTGGTTAATTCAGAACCCGTCTAAGGGTTTTTTTTTGTAAAGTTTCAGTTATAAGTTTATCAATAATATTTATGTTCTCTATGGTACGGGTACCCATGGTCTTCTAATGCCAGAATTATGTGTTATTTATGATGCATTCAACTTCAAACTCCTTCACAAAGTTGTAATTAGTATTCTGTTGAGTAATTTCATTACAGGATGTTGTTTTCCCATGGTTCTAATGACTAAAGTAAAAGATTAAGACCCATAGTAAAGTTTTACAAATTAAACCAGCTGTTCACATGAAGGTCCCATATTTAAAAAAATATGATAACGTCATAAGGACATAATAATTAGCTTAATTTTTATAGAATTTCTAAAACGTTTGTCAGAAAAAAATGTATACTAATACACTTCATGTTGACAAAATATCTTTGTGAATGCTTTAATTTTGGTTTGATAAAGTCGTACATGATTAAAAGTGTAACATATGTTTTGGGACACCCTGTATATTCAGATCTTTAAATTATATAATAAATGTTTACATACATATCATGAGCTACGAACAGTTTAATAAATTTTTCTTCGTTGTAAAGCACTGAACAAAAATTTTCCCAATTTTGACATTTCTTTAACATTTTGTACACTTAGCAATAATATTTTTGTATTAATTTAACGACACTAGGTTTTTTAACATAATACTATTTTATATATTGTATTCTGAGATCATGATATATAGGATATTTCAATATAAAATGGATCTCATCTTCTACGTCATTTTAGTCACATAATAAACATTTTCTGTTATTTCTGTTTTCATTAACATATCTACCTTCTTCTACCCGTAATTTATGACTAGACAGTCTAAAGCTTGTGATACTTTTTTGCATGCATGTTTAATAAGTTTTGGTAAATAATTCCGAAAACAAAAATGGTCTATAAAATGTTGATACAACTTTCCTTTAGTAGACATCTTAATACTATGGAGGATTTCTTGACCATACACATCAAAGAATCTTTGCATAACTATCACATATTCTCTAGAAGTATCAACGTTTTGGAACAGAAGATAACTTAAACCAAGCTTATCAAATTCATTCTTAATTTCAGTATACCATTTGTCATTATTCCTTACTCTTTCTTCATAACATGCTTTTAATATACAGTTGTTTGTATTTTTAAGTTTAAGCCAATATTTCAAAATTTGAAGTTTCCTTGAAAGATACAAAGGTTATCTGCCTAATTCATAATACAGCATATTGTTTGGAGTACATAATTTCACACCCAAGACTTTCTAACAAAAATTACTACGATTTTTTTCAACATCATAAGCCTTGTGAAAACCCCATATTTCAGCTCCATATGACAAAACACTTTTTTAGCAGACTCTGTTTTCAAATAAAATTGCTGAATATAATATATCGCTAAACGTACAGTATTTCTGATAAAACCAACACTGGTTTGTCAATACAATTATCTACCTGCCTTCAAGGTAAACATAATAGATAATATTCACCAAGACCGATATTTACTTCTCAGGTTGCACAATCTTCCTAGTATTAAGTTTGTGTTTTATTGTAGGATTCACTAAATGAAGTCAATATCTCTTGATTGTTTAATATTTGTTGTATTCCTACCAAATTTGAAAGCAGTAAAAATTATTTATAATGAGATTAGATAAATGTAATTGGCTGTATTAACTTGGAGTTTCAAGGGTTTGTTTCCATCTCGCCTTAACTGTAAAATTTAGCATTCCCATTTCGCCTTAGTAAGCTCTCAGAGGGGTTAAGGTGACAAAGATTTAATGTATCTAGTATAAAGTAATTTTTGGTATTTCACATTTTATTCTATTCACATTATTCATAAATTCCCATTAACTGTTAAATTCAACCTAAAATGTTACAAATTAATTTTATTTATAAACCCAGTAATAATATTAACAAATACTAAATTTCCCATTTCGCCATAGTACTTTTTATCTTTTTCTTACCTGAATTTCACAATTAAGGCGAAATGGGAACACATCGTTTCATGTTCTATTTTCTGGCCTAAATACACACTGTACAAGAAAACAAAATGTGAAAGGCGATGAATCAATTTTAAAAAGTGGCAAGCATGTGTATAGTGAGAATAAAAACAAGGTTTGCAATATTTAAAAAAAACATTTTTCGACAATGTTGGATCTCAGCCAATCAAACTTTAGACATTTTCATAATTATAATAAACATGATTCACTTGGTATGGGTTACTGTAAAATTTATCATAACTAATTTTTAAATCATACGATTCACTATTTTGCACATGTAGTATTTGTAAAATTACCGATTTATTGTAAGAATAAATAAAATAAATGAATATTATCTTAAGGAACAAAACAAAAATTATTACACTGTGAAGGTTTCATGCATGTGAAAATGAAATGTATTTCTATAATCTTTATTATTCGACATTTAGAGAAGCAGAAGTTTTTCAAAGAAGAATTCTTCTGTTTTGAAACCAAAACATATCATGATTTTCATATTATTTATTGTATTTTTTCAAATACACGTACATTACAAAGAACAAAACTGACATAAAACACAGTATTATGATTGGAGGTAACAGCCTCGTTTTCATATTAGATACTATATTATGATCACATATATTTTGTTTGAGATCTGAAATACTCGTAAATGTGTTTTTAACAAAGTTATTGGAATATTCCGGTTGGTTTGTAGAATAATTTGCACCACCTCTGATGACATCAACAACCATGGTAGTTGTTTCTTTTTACCAATGAAAAAAGAAAAGAACATAAATCTGCTTAATATTATTTATCAGAAAATTGAAACATGTCCTAAATTTAAACTTTTTTGTCTTATAATTCGTTTGAGCAAAATGTTTCATGTACCAAAATGCCATTTCAGTATTTGTGTAGCATTCATAACCAGACGTACCCGATTCAGTTATACATCCTGTCTTGAAACTGCATTTATTTTCTTGACAATGACACACAGACTGACATTCCTCTCCATAGTGAGGATACGGACATGTGTGTTCACAATTAAATCCAAAGGTACCAATCTTGCATACTTTAATAAAGAATATCAAAAAAATTACTTGCTTCGAAACCATGATAATATTGAAATTTCAATTTTAATTTTCAAAATGATTTAACGTGACAAAACTTTATTGAAAATTTAAATCTGTACTTAGAAACACCTTCACAGGAAGCAATTTCAGAATTCCATCGATATCCAAGGCAACATTGTGTAGTGTTTATCAGGCTGTAAATAATAAATATGATGCAATGTTTGTTTTGGGAGATAGTTAAAAATCAGTAATATTTTTTCAGTTAAGGGAATAATTCTTCTCTAGTTTCTGAGTAGATGTAATATTTGAGTACATTTGCTTTAATAGCTTATATATTCAGATGTAAGAGATTTAGAAGATCATATTTTTCTTTTTTCGTAATAATTGTACAACTTTGAAAGGAAATGGTAAACAATGTTAGAAATCAAGAAGAGGCTGTGATTTTGCGGATTGGTGGTGTAAGAAATACCTTCCTGTCCTCTCCTCAAAATTATGATAGAACAGTGAAATTTTTAATTTTTTCATTAAAAAATGACTTGAAAGAATTTTCAAATATAAGTAGAATTAATAGTTATAGACTGAAGTTTTTAAAATACATCAAATAAATAGGATTTTCTAAACAAACTATAAATATGTTAGCGTTTAAAAGCATCCAATCGGTACAGATTTAAGCAAAAAATCCTCTAATATAGAACAGCCAAAGAACTATATGCGGTATATTGCATATGTTTGCCCCCACAAAAGTCAAATTTTGAAAATTTCCTGAAATGTGCTGAATTCAATAAATTGTACGAGAAATATAAGTTAACAGAAAATATTATAGTTCCAGAGCAGTGTATTCACAAGTTCTGTTTTTATGACGTCACAAACTAGTCCGATTTTATATCCTTTTTCAGAAAGAGGACAAAATGGACAAATTTTCAACAATTTAAGCTTTAAAATTTATAGAGCGCATGTGTGTTCAGGAACAATATTGACATATTTCATTGATATTATCATTCTACACATTATATCAAAATATTTATCCTGAACACACATGCGCTCGGTGACTTTTATTTAAAATATCGACGAAATATGTACATTTTTCTGCAAAATTCATAAAAAACTGAAATTTACGTCATATTTGTGACGTCATTACGTACATATGACGTCATTACTTATGAAATTATTCAGTGCTTTGAAGTCAGCATATACTCCCCTGTTTAAGGACTTAATTAAATATTACTCCATCAAAGTTTGATTTTGGGGGGCAAATGTTGGTTATTACCGCATATGGTTCTTTAATCTAATTGATACCATTACTTAGTGATATTGTCCTCTTGATTCTTTGGAAATTTCATTCATTTTTAAATACAACAAGTATGAGAAAAATCCTACCTTAAGAGCAAAGAAGACAAAGCCATGAAACGATTAATACCGATAAATAACTTTACGAAAGAATTTTCTTTTTTTTTCATTCATTGTTCTAAAATTAAATTACAGTACCCTCCACAATCTTTTCCCCAAGGTGCAGCTTTTCCGTCATGTACACGGGTTGTCAACAATATCGGCCCAAATTGATAAATTAATTTGAAAGATAACGTAAAAAATCGAAACACGATATCGATCATCATGTATAATAATTTGATATCCAGAAACATTGATAGAAAGGTACAGGAGTTTTTTTCCCACGTCTTTGTTTTTTTTTCTGAATAAAAATAGCTTAAACAAGGAAGGATGAAATATGAGTGTTTTCCTCTAAATAGTAATTATTAGTGTTATGTCCAAAGGGTAACCGGTTTTATATACACTACTAAAATTAAAATCTTTTTAACAAAATTTAGTATCACTATACTGAAATAATTATCATGAATTATGTGTACTTAGAAAACAGATGACGCAAAATGCTAGTTAATACCCATTCTCTGTAACCACGTAAACTTTTGTGGCACGTATAGTTAGAGACTTTTCGGTTGGTTGGAAAGTACATGTACCACCTCATAATTTAATTTTAAAAAAATATTGTTAGATCATATGGATGTTGCGTAGTTTCATGTACCATTGAAATGACGCCTAAAGTCGATTTTTTCTATAATACGCAATAATTCGGAATGTTTTTGAATGAAATGCGGCTAGTTCAATTTAATTTCCTCACGGAAATAAAAATATGATATTAAAGGTCATTTTTAAACATAGTTGATATCTGATCTATAAAATGAAAAATCGGCGATTAAAAGCAGACGTTCACTATAAAATTGAATTTTATCCCTTTCATAATTGTGTGAGTTAAAACTCAAACTGACTTGAAGTTGTTTAATATTGTTAACATACGGATATATCCTGGAATTCAAGTAAAAATAAATTATTTCTTCTTCTTTATTTATTGTGAATACAAATTTTTGAATTTTCTGTTAAACTTCCTGCAAACAAAAGAGTAATTTTGATATGTGTTAGATGATGAAATGTACAAGACTATATGGTGCAGGAAATCAGCTCTGTATATATTCATGATTTTGAAATATTAGCCTTAAGGTCTCATGCTTTTCAAAATGGGATAAAAGATAAACTTGAAACCTCAGAATGATATTGATTTTTTTTTTGAAAAAGGAATACAGCTTCTCAGTCAGAAAGATTTTCTGCAGGACTATAATGAACACATATTTAAGAAGATGTGTTTTTGAAACACTAATACCGCCGAATGGCAACATTGCAAAGATTAAACTTTTCTTAAATGCACATTTTATATAGTGTTCCCAAAATCAAGGTATTTTCACTTGAAATACTATTGTGAATTATAAAAGCAGGCCAAGGTTAACGTTTTTTTCCATAAGTTTGGAAACCTTGAAGGTCAAGGTCATTGGTTTCCAATAAAAGGTCTTGCAACAAAAAATACATATGTAAAGTATGAAAGCCCTAGCCCTAACTGTTGAGATCAAGGTTATTTTTTTTTAAAGTAAGTCAAACTCCAAGATCAAACGGTCAAAGTTTTTGAAACCAATGAAGTGTCTTCTGAAAAAGATCACATAAGTGAAGTATGAGGTCACTAATCCTTAGCGTTCAAAAGTTATGGCCAAAGTTAAAGTACAAAAATCTCCGAGATCAAGATCAAAAGGTTAAGGTAATTGGTATCCAACAAGTTGCTGTCCTTTAAAAAAAGGACTGCAATACGTGGACCATATGCATGTTTTTTTTCTAACTGAAATTCAATTAAGAAAAGTTTTAGGTGTAGGGAATATTTGTGTAGGTTTGTTCATTTTTTAATGATCTGCCTACTCAAAACTGATTGTAGTCTCAAAGCAAAATTGTGTAATTTTATCTCCGATTAGCGACCTTTAGTTTTTTAAGCTTAAAAAATCGGGTTATTTTGATACGTGTAACTCATAACTTGCTGGGACTTGACATCTGTTCTGGATTTATACGGAAGAAATTTATCGTTGGAAAAATAGAGATCTGATGGTTCACGAGCAGCACAGCTCAGTAGTACGCAGATTCTTTTCCCCCCCCCCCCCCCCCCCACACACACACATTAAAAACCATTGCTACAGACCTTTATCAACCTATATTAAGATTGCTGAAATATCAAAATTAATTATCTTGCGAGCCTTGATGCACAAAACTAGTGCCGGTGAAAACTTGTTCTATCTGTTAAAAGCTATCTCTATTCTTTGAGTGACGTTTTCATTCAAGTTGTTAAGTTACATGTACCGTTATTTATATACTGTAACTTCTTAAAATGCTCGTACCATGCAATCAATGTTTAGGTTGTATATACAATTTTATGTAAAAGAGAGAAAATCGAATCTGCCAATGAATATGTAAATCCGATATGCAGATTTAAAAGCATATTTTAATTCGAATAGGGCGAATGATTATACGAGCAAGTTACCGTGTCAAGGCTATGGCATGAACTCTCTACTGCAATTGACTGAGCGCATGCGTTTGAGCCTGTCGTTTGCCCATATGGGCATCCTGTTTAACCTCGCTTATATATTTTTGTGAAAAAAGGTAAAACACAAAGGTCAAAAGGTCAAATTTGGGTCCACGCAATGAAAGTCTTGCCACATAGAATACGCATGTAAAGTATGAAAGCACTACCTTTAAAAGTTATGGTCACGGATTGCTTTTTAAAAGTAGGTCAATCTCCAAGGTCAAGGTCAAAAGTTCAAAAAACAAGTATAAAAATCTATATAAACACATTTGCTATAAGGTTTGCGTCAGCTTTTATCATCAAATTATCACAATTTGAAAGCTTTGGACAAAATGTAACCAAAACAGAAGTTATCTACATTTTCGACTGGGGCCGATGTTTGCGTCAAATTAGCTTAATTGATTGTTATATATGGTCGTTATCCACTTTAGAAATATTTCAATCAACACCTTCAGTAGTATGAAATGGCATCAAAGTACTGCCCATAGCAGTCCAGTATCATCTCAAACAGTCTGAATCACTCAAAGAGGGGTACACTTACGTGCAAGACGCCAAATGAGGGTCTGTATGTTTAATGCATTGGCCTGCTAAATTCTTTAATCCTAATCCAATTGAACATATGGAATGTCATCCCACCCCCCACCCCCTTCCACACAATTTCAACGGTTTAGAAACATCCGCAGCAGCAGATAGGTCAACTTTCTATTTAAAGGGTACATGGTAACCATTGGAAAAGGATGTCATGCTGTAATTAGAGCGAGTGACGGCCTTCTTCAACAGTGATCATTTTATGTGAATTTTCATTTGAGGGAACATCATATTCTTGACTCTTTACTTTTAACTCTGATGAGATACGTACAAGAAATTTTTGCAACATCAAACTGAAATATGCATCATTAACCATGAATTAAAGCAATTATTTATTGTATGCATTTGTTCTTTACAACTTAAAAAATGTTAGGTAAAAGTTTAATTGGTACAGTGCACTGCACAGGATTTAAATGCTTACATAGAATGGGTTTTAAATACCCCTGTAGAATCCAACCAAAAATTCTTTTATTTTCTTTCTATCCATCAGATATAGCCCCGTATGGATCCGGGTTAGAATAGGTCCTTAGTACCCATTTGCTTGTCGTAAAAGACGACTAAATGGGGCGGTCCTTCGGATGAGACCGTATAAACCGAGGCCCCGTATCACAGCAGGTGTGGCACGATAAAGATCCCTCCCTGCTCATAGGCCGTAAGTGCCGAGCATAAGCCTAAATTTGCAGCCCTTCACCGGCAATGCTGACGTCTCCACATCAGTGAAATATTCTTGAGAGGGACGTTAGACAGTATACAATCAATCAATCAAATCATCAGATATCAATATAGCATTAAATCAGACTAAGTAGTTGAAAATTAAGATATTAAAAATGAAGTCTTGCAAGGAACGAAAGTTTTGCCTGCAAGAACATCATTTTCTTTAAGTTAAAACCTCTGTTAAATAATCTTTGTCACAAAATTTTCAAATTTTTTCAAAAAGATAAAGTAGCACTCGTTTATCAATCAGTTATCAAATAACTTTCAAATTCATGGTGAACATACAACCTCAACCCTGTGCTTGGACATGTCAAGAAAATCATATTTTAAATGTTTAACCTACAAATAAAATTCATGTTGAATCTGACATTAGTTCAGGTTTATCTTTGAAGATTCTTTTTTTTTTAAACCTAACCAGGAATAATTATCAGTAAAATGTTAAGTTTAGATACAATGCAGCTAAAGTTATCGATGCCAAATTAAATTAACTTTCAGATTTTATATTCAATA